GGCAGCACCCACCTTTCTCCAGCTCCACGGGGAACAGGTCGAGCCTCTCCACCCTCTTCTCCAGCTCGTACTCGGCCGAGGCCGCCATGGGATCCACGTCCTCATTGCGGCGGTCGTAATCCTCGTTGGAGTAAGTGCTGAACACCTGGGGGCACCAGGGAGGGCTCAGCCAAGGGGGGGAAACCCCACAGGAGCCCCCCAGGATGGAACTGAGCCCTTGGAGAACCCCAAATGGTGACAGGGGGGAGATGGGAAGGACAAAGGGGTGAGTGAGGGTGGCTCGGGGACAGGGGACGGTGCCAGGACACCCCAAAGCCAAGCTGGGATGGGCACCCAGGCTGCAGCCATGCCCTGCTCCCTGGGGGCTGTGGGGAGGGGCTGGCCAGGCCTGGCAGATGTCCCTGGAGGGGCCCCAGCCCCTCGGTGCCGCCAGGGAGGGGATTAGGGATCACACAGCACGGGATAAAGCCTGGCCACAAAGGGAATTAGGGCCCAGTGTCAGGGGACAAAGGCTGGTGACACCCATGGATGGGCAGGAGCCACCGTGTGGCACCCAGGGGTGACAGGGAGGAGCAGGGCAGGGGACAGAACAATGTCCCCCTGTCACAGGAAAACCCTAGGGGGGTCCCATGCTGTGCCCCCCATCCTGTCCCTGGGTCCTGGGGAATTTGGGATTGGGGGGGGTCTGCAGTGGGGAAGGGGCTGCAATGTGCCCCCAGTGCTGGGCTGGGTGGGGGTCCCCAATGTCACCCACCTTCCCCCCCACCCCCACAGTGGGTTTGGGGGGCTCAGCATCACCCAGGCAGGGGTTTGGGGTGCTCTAAAATCTGGGTGTCCACCCCACTCACCCCTATGTGTTCCTCCCCTCAGGTGAGAGGCTTTGGGGTGAGCAGAGCATCCCAAAACCTCCTCCATCCCAAAATCCCCATCCATGGGGTGAGAAAAGCACCCCAAAACCTCCATCTGTGGGGTGAGCAGAGCACCCCAAAATCCCCATCCATGGGGTGAGCAGAGCATCCCAAAATCCCCATCCATGGGGTGAGAAAAGCACTCCAAAACCTCCATCTGTGAGGTGAGCAGAGCACCCCAAAAACTCCATCCATGGGGTGAGCAGAGCATCCCAAAATCTCCATCTGTGAGGTGAGCAGAGCACCCCAAAAACCCCATCCATGGGGTGAGCAGAGAACCCCAAAAACCCCTATCTGTGGGGTGAGTAGAGCACCCCAAAATCTCCTCTATGCCAAAAACCCCATCCATGGGATGAGTAGAGCATCCCAAAAACCCCATTTATGGGGTGAGCAGAGCATCCCAAAATCCCCATCCCCAGCCAGGGCACCTTCCCAGGGCTGGGCTGGCACATCCCACGGGACCAGGGCCACCCTCCTGCTGCAGCCCCCCGTGTCACGGCCNGATCTGGAGCTGTGGGAGAGCCAGGGTGGGCACGGGGTGGGCACAGCCCCCCGGGCGGGCACCCCCTGCCCTCTCCAGCCCCTCCTCACCTCCTTGAACTTGTGCACCAGCTTCTCGGGGTCCATCTCCACGGGGGACAGCGCGTCCTCGTTCTCGGCCAGCTCAAACACCTCGATGGCCATCTCCCCGCTGGGGAACATGGGGCTCATCTCCTCCTCCTCATCCGTGGCGTACTCCCCGGTCTGTGGGGGGCACAGGGGCGGGGTTGGCACCTCTGGGTGCCCACCGTGCCACCCCCAGCCCTGCAGGGCAGCGCTGTGCCCTCCCTCACCTCCTCGTCATCCTCGGTGTACTGCGTGTAGCGCTGCTCCATCATCTCGCGCTGCCACCGCTCCTGCTCCAGCGTCTGCTGGATCAGCTGCGCCACCTCGCTCTGCTCCCCTGGCTTCTCCCGCCCGATCAGGAACCTGGGGGGCACCACGGGTCAGGGGGGACACCCAGAGGGCACCTTTGATGCCCTTTGCAGGGGATACCCCTACAGCTCTCCCAGGAGCAGCGAGTTCAGGGAGTGAGGATGAGTTGGGAGCACTTTGGAGAACACCAAGGTGGCACTCTGGGGGCAGATGGGGACAGGCTGTGGGGACAGGCTGTGGGGCAGGAATCCCCAGGATTCCAGGGGTGGCACAGCCAGGGGACAGCCCTGCAGCTCTCCCAGGAGTGGCAGGTTCAGGGGGTGAGGATGAGTCGGGAGCACTTTGGAGAACACCAGGGTGGCACTTTGGGGGCAGATGGGGACAGACTGTGGGGCCAGGCTGTGGGGCAGGGATCCCAGGGGTTCAGCACAGCCTGGGGGGACTCTCAGGGCTGCCCACCCCCCAAATCCCAGCTCATACCTGACCCTGCCCTTGGTGTTCCTGAGCACGGAGGCAGCGAAGCTCTGCGTGACGCCCACCAGGCTGGTGCCATCCACCTCCACGATCAGGTCATTCACCTGGATCCTGGGGACAAGGACACCCTCACAGCCCCTGCCCAGCCCTGGGGCAGCCCTGGCAGCCCTGCCCCGCTGCCCCCAGCCGTACCTGCCATCCCGGTGTGCTGCTCCTCCTTCCGTCACCGTCTTGACGAAGATTCCCAACTTCTCCAGGCCCATGTCGGCCCCCGCGCCCATCCCGATGATGCTGATGCCGAGCCCCTCCGAGTCTGCGGGCACACAGAGCCGNGGATCCGTGCCAAGGGGAAGGTCCCTGCCAATGGACAAAGGGTGCCCAGAAGGACTGGGCATCCCAGGGATGTGTCTGAGTCAAGGGGAAGGAGTTGGTTCCCCAGGGTGAGCGCAGGGAAGGTCCAGAAGGAAGGACACAGCGTGCCAGGGAGGGTTTGGCACCTCAGGGAGGTGTCCCTGCCCAAAGGACGGTCTGTGCCCAGGGACAGGGGGTGCCACAGAGGGGTCAGAGCCCCTCGAGGGCTCCACACCAAGGGCACAGGGACAGGGGCTGCCTGGGGAGGGCCTGGTGTCCACGGGATGGACCCATGGCCAAGGGATGGACCTATGGCCAGGGATGGATCCATGGCCAAGGGATGGATCCAGGATCCACAGCCCAGGGATGGACCCATGGCCAATGGATGGACCCATGGCCAGGGATGGATCCATGGCCAGGGATGGATCCATGGCCAGGGACGGATCCAGGATCCACAGCCCAGGGATGAACCCATGGCCAGGGGATGGCTCAGCCCAGTGTCATGGTCTGTGCCCAGGGACAGGGGTGCCCGGGAGGGATGGGACACCCTGGGGACAGGTCCCTTCCCGAGGGGACGCCAGGAGCTGCCCTCACTTCTGCTGGTACTCCTTGATGAGCCGCTTGGCCTTGCTGTACTTGCGCTCCAGGGTCTGGTACTGGGCCTGGGTCTCCTTGAGGTGCTCGTCCACGGCCTGGCACAGGTTCTGGGCCTCCATCCAGTAACCCTCCAGCTTCTCCATGCGCTCCTTGTTCTCCTCCACGCTCTGCTCCAGCTGGGCCTTCTCGGCCCTCCAGCGTGCCTTCTCCTGCTCCAGGCACTGCAGCTGGGGACAGTGGGGTCACCATGGCGTGTGGCACAGCCAGGGAGCACAGTGGGACATGGCACAGACAGGGATGGGACATGGCACTGCCAGGGGACAAGCAGGACATGGCACAGACAGGGGTGGGACATGGCACTGCCAGGGGACAGGGTGGGACATGGCACAGCCAGGGGTGGGACGTGGCACAGCCAAGGCATGGGATGTGGAGCAGTGTGGCATGACATGGCACAGCCAGGTGACAGGCAGGACAATGCACAGCCAGGTGACAGGCAGGAGATGGCACAGCCA